ACACCGTGGATCAGCTTGCCTGCATGTGGTTATAGCCTTTTGATATCTATTAGCCAAAAGAGGTGCAAGACACCCTTCTGGGCCAGCATCTCCCCACTGCCCAGGCAGGCAACGGAGGCAGGGCAAGACTCATTCAGCCATGCCCAGCTATCAGGTGGCGGGACCAAGGGTCAACCCAGGTTCAAAAGCTCCCTAGGCTGGGAGGAGAGAGAGGGCCTGGGGCTTACCTCAAGTCCCAAGGCCAGAAACTCCCCTGCTGTCCCCAATGCCATCTCAACGCCTCCTACTCCCACCGCCTGCTTGTCCCCCAGCTTTGGCCTTGACCATGATGGTGCACCAGGCAGTGAATGTGAGCCCAGTGGCCATGTGATGGCATCTGATGGTGTGGTGCCAGTGCATGGGGGCCTGGAGTGGTCCACGTGCAGCCGCCGGCAGCTGCAGCACCTGCTTAGGTACAGCCTCCTCACCCCCACACAAACTCCCCACCTCGAGGCTCCACCCTCTACCTGTCAGTGTTGAACTGCCCTGCCCATCAGATAGGCCTTATCTGCACAGTGAGCACCCCTACTTCCTGTCCTGGGACTGCTCCAGCCTTCCTGGCCCCTGCATTCATCCCTTCTTGCACCCACCCCTTCTACTCCTAAGCAGGCCCCACTCCCTCATTTTCTCCTGCTTCTCTGTACCCACTCATCCATCCCACCCCATTCCTGCACCTACTCCTCAGTGTGCCTTCTTCATCTGCCTCCATCTCCTCCCATCCTCCCCTCCCTCCAGCCTCCCTAACAGCCTGCATCTCCCCCTCCATCCACTGTGCTGGTCCCTCTGTCACATTGCCCCCTCTTCCATCCTCCAAAGCACCTCCATCTGCTCCACACCCACCTCCACCTGGTGCCTGCCAGCCCAAGCCAACTGGCCACACCCCAGCCAAAGCCCCTGTTCCCACCTTCTCCATCCAGCCCCACCTGGTGTCCACCCTGGGGCTAAGCCAGGGCCTGTTGCAGCAGCTTGGGACAGGTGCCCTGCGCGTGGGACCCACCACAGTCACCATCTGGATCCAAGGACCACCTGCTGGATGTACAGCCAGGCCTCTACTATGGCGCAGATGAGCAGTGCCGGGTGGCCTTTGGCCCAGGGGCTTTTGCCTGCACCTTTACCAGAGAGGGCCTGGTGAGTCCAACTGGCCAGGGCCGGGCCCCTCCCAGCTCACCTCTGCCTGGTGGCATCACACAGGGACCGTTCCACAGTCCCCTTGGTTTAATGCTGTCAGATGCCTCTTGAAATCCTTAAAATTTTTTGAACAAAAGTCCCTACCCATGTGTTTGGATCGGCCCCCAAATTATGTAGCTGGTCCTGGCACTGCCCCAGGCGGCCCAAGGGCTTTTAACCTGCTGCTAAGCACAGAGGTCTTCTTGGAGGGAGTGGCCTTCTATCTGAAGCCTCTGCAGATGTCCCAGACAGGGGGAGGGGAGATGAAGGGGATAGACACCCCCAAAGATGAACATCCTTTCCAGGCTGCCTAGGACACTCAGGGACCCCAGGCCCTTTTGCCCTGGTGAGCCCTTTTCTTCATAAAATAATTAAAAACTTTTTTTGTAGTTGTAGATGGACAGCATGCCTTTAGTTTATTTTTATGTGGCACTGAGGATTGAACCCTGTGCCTCACACATGTGAGGCAAGTGCTGTGCCACTGAGCTTTAGCCCCAGCCATTATTTTTTTAATATATATATTTTTAGTGTAGATGGACAAATATCTTTATTTTTTTTGTTTATTTTTATGTGGTGTTGAGGATTGAACCCAGGGCCTCGCACATACTAGGCAAGTGCTCTATTGCTGAGCCACAACCTCAGCCCTGTAAAATAATATTAAAAACTATGTTCTAGTATTTTTATGAAATGCATGAACTTTTGTTATTTTAAGTACAAATATATTAAAATTATTAAACCATTTATTTTTAATCTGATTTTAAAATAAATTAAAACATTTTTGTGGGCCTCAAGAGACATGGTTGGCCTGGCCAGGTTCCCTTGTCCTCCTAGGCCACCCACCAGTAGCCATGGAGCAGTACCAGTTGTGTCAGTGTGCCCTATGGTCTGGGAGGGACAGTGTCGGGGCAGTCCCTGAGCTGGCTACCTGACTCCCTGTTAGGACATGTGCCAGGCTCTCTCCTGCCACACAGACCCTCGGGACCAAGGTAGCTGCAGCCGCCGCCTCATTCCCCTGCTCGATGGGACAGAATGTGGTACGGAGAAGGTCAGAGCAAGGAGTGAATGTTCCAGCTGTGTGTGTGCTCGCAGGGCATCTCCTGGAGTAGGGGTAGGAGCTCATTAAGGTGGGGGGCAGGCAGAGAGCCTGGAGCTATCCCTGGTGGCCACCTTGGCACGTCAGGAGGTGTGCCTCATGGGCACCATAGGTGTCGCCTGTCTGTGACTCACCCCAGCCTTCTGTGGGCCTGGAAGGTGGGTGGGTTTCTAGGTTTGTGGGGTCAACACCCTAGTGGGAGGTTGCTCTGTATCTGCTGAGGTGGTGGGATCTATTGAGTCTGGAGCCTTGCCCTGGCCACATCTGTCTGGAATGTGGGGTTTACTGGGTCCCTGCTCCCAGGCATCATGCCACAGCCCACCTTCTCCTCCAGCTCTGGGCGTGGGCATCGCGTTTTACTCCACTGGACAGAGAAGGTTTGCCGGCTGACAGTGCAGCCTGCACTTTCTGCCCTGACGCCCTTTTATTGCCATGCCATCTCCCCCAGGGCTCCCTGAGCCACCTCACTGGATGTTTAGACCCATCCTCTGTCCTTGGGCTGCTGGCCTGACCTGTCACTTTAGCATTTATTCCCAAGTAGTGTGAGGTGTGTGTGGGGTTCCTAGGGTCTGGGGCCCCCATGTAAGGGTGGAGAGGCAGCTACCCTGTCTTGCAGTGGTGTTCCAAGGGTCACTGCCGCTCATTGGCAGAGCTGACCCCCGTGGCAGCAGTGCATGGACAGTGGTCCAGCTGGGGTCCCCGCAGCCCTTGCTCCCGCTCCTGTGGAGGAGGTGTGGCCACCAGGAGGCGGCGCTGCAGTAACCCCAGGTACTGTGAGGAGGGGTGCTCTTCCCTGCATTCCATTCCCTGCTTGGGGCAGTGGTCACTTCTCACCCTGTCTCATGGGCACTTTCAGACCTGCCTTTGGAGGGCGTGCGTGTGTCGGGGCTGACCTCCAGGCCGAGATGTGCAACACCCAGGTAGGCCAGCCAGCTGGGGCCAGGAGGGCAGGGTGGGAGATGGCGGGCCTCGGAGAGCCAAAGGGCTGCCCTGGCTGACCTAGGCTCGCACCTCACTCTGGAGAGGGACACTGGGAGCACAGTGCGAGACACAGGACAGTCCTGCTAGTGACCAGCAGGGACTTGAACGGTCGCCCTCCCTCTGCAGAGCACACCCCTGCAGGAGGGCTGCCCCTGAGAATATGCCACCACCAGCATGAGGCCCTTCCATGTCTGTGTGGTGGTGAATTGCAACACAGTCAGCGGTGCTACGGTGCACGACATGGCGTCCAGCACACTCGTGCCAGGGGCCACTCCCTCTGTCAAGTTCCAAGCATTTCCATCACTCAGAGCTCACTCTGCTCAGTGAGCGGCCTCTGGCCTCCTCCCTGCCTGGCAACCCCTGGTCCACTCTCTGCCTCTGCAGCTCCATCTGTTCTGGGTCCTGGCAGGGGCCGCCAAAGCTGTGTGGTCTTTGGTGCCTGGCCTTCTCTGCTGAGTGCTTTTCAGGGCTCACCTGCGTCACAGCGCATGTCAGTGCTTCTTTCCCTTCTGAGACTGGGTGGCATCCCCTAAGATGGAATACCTTTTGTTCACCGATGCCTACTGAAGGACACTGGGGTTGGTTCCACCTTCTGACTGCTGGGGGTCTTCCTGCTATGAGTGAGCTTGCACACGTGCTTGTTGGAGTCTCTGTGGTCTGTTCTACTGACTATATTTACCTGTCTTAGTCAATGTGTGCTTCTATAACAAAATACCCAGATTGGGTAGTTTATGCAGAACAGAAGTTTATTTCTCATGGTCTTGGAGGCTGGGAGTCTTAAGATCAAGGCCCAGCTGTTTGGTGTCTGGTGAGAGCTGCCCTCTGCATCTTACAGATGGTGCCTTATTGCTGCATCCTCCAGAGGGAGTCACTGGGCCCTCACATGGCAGAAGGGAAGGAAGGGGAAAAGGGCCTACATGGTTCACCTGGTCCATTCACAGGGGGTGCCACCCCATTCACAAGGCCAAGCCCTATGATCCTATCACCTCTTTAATACTGGTGCTTTGGGGATTCAGTTTCAAGATGAATTTTGGAGGGGACATGATCACCAAACCATAGCAATACTGTCATTTAGTTTTTTTTTTTTATTAACCATTTTACTACTTACATGTATTTCATGACATCAGGAGATACCCATTAACATTTATTTATTTATTTATTTAGTATTTTCAGTTGTATTTGCACACAATACCTTTATTTTATTTATTTATCTTTATATGGTGCTGAGGATCGATCCCAGTGCCTCACACATGCAAGGCAAGTGCTCTACCACTGAGCCACAACCCCAGCCCTGGCTGTCATTTAGTTTTCTATTGCTGTACCAAACACCTGAGATAAATCAACTTATAAGGAGGAAAGATTTATTCTGGCTCAGAGGTTTCAGTCCACAGTCACTTGACCTTGTCTTTGGGCCAGGGTCAAGGCAGACCATCATGGTGGGGAGCATGCAGCAGAGCAGAGCTGTGGCTTCATGGCACCAGGAAGTAAGGATAGCCAGAGGAAGGGGCTGGATCTCAATATCTCCTTCTATGCTGTGCCCCACTGACCTAGGCGCTCCCCACAGCCCCAGCTCTTAAAGGCTTCACCACCTCTCCTAGCACCACCTGGGCACCAAACCTCCAGCCCGTGGCCTTTGGGGTAAACTCAACATTCAGACTAGCAAATACCTAAAAGGGAATCGTTGTGTGACTGTGTGACCTTCTAAAAGTGCCACAGTGCCCAGTCCCTTTTGCATCCCATCACTCAGAGATAGCAGTGTCTCAGTGAGGGCTCCAGTTGCCTCACACCCCCTCCAGCAGCACGTGCTCTGCTCTGTGTGTGTTTGCTCTTTTATTCTCGCCATCCTAGTTGGTGGGAATGGTAGCATGATTCTTTTCACATTGTTTAAAACCTACCTGCTGCTTTGGGTGGCCTGGGTTTGGGTTTGGCCCTAGCTGTGTGGTGACAGCTCCCTCCCTGCCTTCTCAGGCATACACCCCAGGCCTCCCCAGGCCTCCCCAGGCCTTGAGAGGAGGGTCTCTGCAGGGCAGCTACCGAGAGGGCAGCACCTCAGTGTCTCTGCCCAGGGGGTCACTCCATTCCTTTTCTCTCCAGTGTAGAAGTGGCCAGGTTGCCTGCCTGGGCACTGGGGCTTAGTGCTGGGCCTCTGTTCCTGAGCATTCAGTTTTTCTGGGACCTGCTCCTGATGCACCTGGTAGGCAAAGAACACCACAAGCCCTTTTTTTTCCTCAGGCTCAGGCCTTGGGAGTGGTCCCAAGAGCACTGCTGTTCCCTGCCCTCTTCTTGTTGCTGCCCTATATCTCCTACAGATTATCTAGAATTTCTCATCAGCAGAGAGGCAGGTGCTCTGGTTGCCCTCACTCTTCAGAGAAGAGAGTCAAGGCATAATGGGGCTGGGTTGCCCCACGTCTTCCCCCCATGCAGGTGGCTGCTGGCTCCTGTGACCAGAGCCTATCCTCTGCCTCCTCTGACCAGGCCTGCGAGAAGACTCAGCTGGAGTTCATGTCGGAGCAGTGTGCCCAGACTGATGGCCAGCCGCTGCACCTCTCCCCAGGCATCCCCTCCTTCTACCACTGGGGTGCCGCAGCACAGTACAGTCAAGGTGGGCTGTGGAGCACAGGGGTGCTGGCCTGGAGACCCCCCCACCAGGTAGCAGAGTTGACCATAATCACTCTGCTGGTTGGAGCAGGATCCAGGGTGAGCCTCTGGCATGCTGCAGACCAAGGATTCCATTGTGGCCCAGCCTGGCCTTGCCAGCAGATGAGCAGTGAGGTCTCATCTCCAAGTCTCAGTTATCTATCTGTAAAATGGAGACCATAGCAGCATCTCCCTCTGTGGATGGATTCAGGGAGGTCATGCAGGGAAATGCCAAGTGTGCCTCTGGGTTTATAATTCAGAAACAGCAGTTATCAGATGATGATCATCGTTGCTTCAGAAGACGGGATAGAAACCTGGAGCCCAGATGTGAGGATGTAGCTAGACAGGGCTGGCAGGTGGGAGCCTGCAGCATGGTCCCCATGGGGCTTCCTGACCTAGCTCACTGCCCTCCCTCCCACCTCTTTCATCAGGGTTTCTTGTCACTCTGTCCTCCCAGGGGATGCTCTGTGCAGACACATGTGCCGGGCCATTGGCAAGAGCTTCATTGTGAGGCGTGGAGACCATTTCCTGGATGGGACTCGGTGTGTGCCGAGCGGCCCTCGGGAGGACGGGGCCCTGAGCCTGTGTGTGTCTGGCAGCTGCAGGGTGGGTGTGTGTGGACAGCTCAAGTGCCCTGTGTCCCCTGTGGCCTAAGGCCTACCTCTGCCTGTGGGAGGATTCCAGGGGCAGCCTGTGAGTGCTGGCTGCAGTGGAGCTGCCTTGTGGTCTGCAGGGGAGGGGTGCTGGAGATAGGGGGCTTGGGGTCAGCCTGGGCAAGGCCATGCCGGGGCTTTGAGCCAGTTGCTTGACCCTCTAAGCCCTGTTCCTGTGTTGACTTAAGGGTTGTATGAGTTCCTGGTCCTGGAGCCACAGGGCTGTCTGGGAGAACAGCACCTCCCATGACACCCCCCTTCCGCTGGTCCCTTTACAGACATTTGGCTGCGATGGCAGGATGGACTCCCGGCTGGTGTGGGATGCATGCCATGTGTGTGGAGGGGACAATAGCACGTGCAGCCCACAAAAGGGCTCCTTCACGGCTGGTAGAGCCCAAGGTAGGGCCACCTCAGGGAGGGTTGCTCAGCCTCCAGCCTCCCCAGGTCCCAGCTTGCCTCCCCCACTTTGCCATTCTCCCATGGTGATGATATGGCCACCAGGATTGCTGCGCCTTAGTAACAGTGGCTCATGAGCTGTGATGTGGAGAAATAGGTCATTGTGCAGTCTGTGGTGGGCCAGCCTCTTCCTCCCACTCAGGAAACACCATCAAGGTGAGGGAATAGGAGGGGTGTCAGTGTTGAGTGGTCCCTGGAGGACTTGAGCCCTGCTCCCCCTGGTGTGTCCCCCAGGGCTGGAGGACCTGGGATCCTGCACCTGGCTGGGGCAGCACCAGCCCTCCAGCATGGTGTTGATGGCCCTGAGGACGTGAGGAGGCCTTACTGCCTCTGGAAGCAGCCTGGGGCATTGTTAGAATTTCTCAGTCTGGCTGTGGAGGCTCCTGTAGTAAGGTAGGTGACACGAGGCCCACACAGACCTTGCTCTGCTTCTCTCTAGAGTATGCCACCTTCCTGACGGTCACACCCAACATGACCAATGTGCACATAGTCAACCACAGGCCACTCTTCACGCACCTGGGTGAGTCGAGAGAGGAGGTCCACTGCATTTGAACAGTCATCTCAGTCCCAAGGCCCTCACTTCTGACTCCAGTCTCAGGTGCAGGGGTTCCCTAAGCCACTGGGGTTTGCTAGTTCACTGGGAGGGCTCCCAGAACTCCCTGAGTTCCCAGCCACAGCTGCTCTCACTCTGGGGAAGGGGCTTCATTTCACAGGTGTGATTGTTCAGTGAATGAGTGACGGCTGTCCTGGATGATGAACCTCCAGGGGACCCAAAGCCCCTCCCTAATCATTTGGCTGCTCTTTCTGCACAGCCAGCCCTGGCTTATGCCTGCCAGGTGGGTCAGCCCCACCCTGAGCTCTGGCAAGTCCAGCCCATGCCAGAAACAGATGTCTTCTCTCCAGGTCAGGGCAAAGGCCACCTGTGTACTCTTCAGGGCTATGGTGGGCCTTTGTTTCCTGAGTGTGCCTCCTCCTGACCTTTGAGCCCTTGAAAGGGGGTGCTTGTCTTGGGGCCCTTGAGCTCTGAACCATGTGTGTTCTGTTCATGGGGGCACCTGGTGGGGCAGAGGTTGAGGCCCTAACCAGCTTCTGGGACGAGGTGCAGAGCCAGTGCTGTGGGGCAGCCTTAAGCAGGATGCATGTGTCCATGGCAGAGGGGTGCACACCGAGAGTCTCACCCGACTAGACACCAAGAGGACCAGCTCCTTAGGCGAGGGTGGTAGACAGGGCCATGGAGATTGCGTCCTGTTGGCAGAACGCCCCTCCTGCCCACTTGCCCTGCTGTCACCTCCACCCTTCCCTAACCCAGATCCCCCACTGTGCAGGGAGGCATCCTCTTGGTGAGCAGCTGTACTTGTGAGGGGTGGCACCTGCTCCGCAGTGCCAACCACCTTTTGTTCACAGCCATGAGGATCCGAGGGCGCTACATTGTGGCTGGGAATGGCAGCATCTCCCCCAGCACCACCTACCCCTCCCTACTGGAGGACAGCCGTGTGGAGTACAGAGTAACCCTCACAGAGGACCAGCTGCCCTACCTGGAGGAAATCCGCATCTGGGGACCAGCCCAGGAAGACATGGAGATTCAGGTCCCCAGGAGGGCTGAGGGAGGCCAGTGGGGCTTCTCTCAGTGGCTCCAGCTGGGTTCATTTCTCCATCTGTTCCCTCTCACTCAGTGGCCCCTTGGGGGCCTCCCAGGGGGTGGGCCCTGTGGTGGGCCAAACGCAAGCACAACAGCCCCAGGCTTAGTGTCTCAGACAACTCGAGTTGCCTGTGCCTGGTGCCCGGGGAGGGCCTGGAGCTCTGGGAGTGGTGAGAGGGCTCTGCAGGGAGCATATGGAGTGAAGGCTTTCCACTCCTCCTGGGGTGTGGGCAGCGGAGTGGTCCCTGGTGTGGAGGGAGCTCAGGGGCATTGCATCCTACTAGTTCTTTGGTGTCGACTGGAGTTAGTGTAGTGGAACCCACCCTGGAGGGCTTCAGAGAGGGGCAGAGTCTCAGCAGCTCCTGCTGGGGTGTCAGCAGGGTTCCCTCAGAGCAGGCCAGAGCAGGTCCCCGTGACCCTTCCTGCCTCCCCACGTGGCTCAGCTTGCCCACCTTCCCTTGCTAGGAGCGCTGACCCCAGCACTGGCTACAGGCAGTTCTGCCAGCAGCCTGGGCCCCCCTCCAGGTGCAACAGGTCAGGACTTACTCAGGTGGGCTGTGATAGGCAGCCAAACAGGGCAGATACTGCATGTCACCTCCCACTGTGTGACCTCCTCTGGGCCCTGGATTCCTGCTTGGCCCCTTTCTTGGGCACAGCCCCTTCCTGAAGTGCAAACAGCCCAGGAACCCTGTTGAAGCCTTTCCCAGCTCTGAGGGTCAAGCTAGACCACTGGGCAGCCACAAGGCCCCTGGGACCCTGGCCCTTCCTGCTGGCCATGGACCTCAGCTCCCACTCTGGAGGCATATGCTGGTCTGGTCTGTGTGACCCTTGCCTGGGCCCTCTGCTGAAGTGCCCCTTGCCTTGCTGTGGCTCCTGAGTACCACTGCAGTCTGCCCCTGTCAACTTGGGACTCCCTGTTCCATGTTCCCGTAACTCCCTGCCCCAGTCCTCCCAGTTCCCTTGGTAAATAACCCCCACCCCAAAAGCTACCTGAAGCTCCTGTCTGCTGTGCTGTCCTGCCTGGGGCTGGGGGACTGGAGTGTGGAGAGGCTTTCCCAGTCAGGTGACCATGATGGTGACCCCTGGAGCCCACTGGACAGTCCCTGGGCTCCCCTCTGTGACACAGGTGTATCGGCGGCACAGCGAGGAGCACGGCCAGCTCACCCGCACCAACGTCACTTTCACCTACTTCCAGCCTAGGCAGCAGGCAGCCTGGGCATGGGCCCCCATGCGCGGGCCCTGCTCGGTGAGCTGTGGGGCAGGTGAGGCCCAGGCTGGGGCTCGCCTCTGTCTTGCTGTCCCTACGTGGAGGTGGTCGAGCCCTTGCTCTACTTTTGCAGGACTGCGCTGGGTGTCCTATGGCTGCCTGGACCAAGCCCGGGGGCAGTGGGTGGAGACTGCCCAGTGCCAAGAAAGCCCCCAGCCTCCCTCATGGCCAGAGTCCTGCAACCCTGCACCGTGCCCCCCATAGTAAGTGCTGTGCTGGGCCGTCCCCCTGGCTGCTGGGGCCCAGGTGGCCTGGGCTGGGCAGCTTCTATGCCTGTTCTTGTGTAGTACTGATGTCAGCCCTCTGGGGCAGATTCTGTTGGTGACTCCGATTTGCAGATGGGGACACTGAGACTCGGGACAGATAGGGAGGTAGTGTCAGCCTTGTCTGAGTCTGCTGTGAGCTGAGGTGCTCATTGTAAGGTGGTGGGGACCTGGGAGAATGGTGGGTGGCTCAGGGGTGCTGGTGGAGCAGTGCTCCTTCTGGCCCGGCAGGAGCATTTGGCTGCAATGTACTGTTAGGAATGAGGCCACCATTGCTAGGTGGAGCACTGGAGCAGCTGCCTGCCTGCACCACTGTGCATCTGTCCTCTAGCTTGGTGTGCAGGGCAACCTTGCAGACCTGGCCTCTGGAGGGCAGCTCAGGACATCTGGAGTTAAGAGGGAGAAGCATGTTGGCCAGAAGCATGAGAAGGAGAAGCCTGTTGGCCAGGGCCTGCTGCTCTTTCCCGTTGGCCCCTGATCCAGCCTGGACACTTCCTCCTGCTCCTCAGCTGGCTGGCTGGAGACTTCGGCCCATGCAGTGCCTCCTGTGGGGGAGGCCTCCGTGAGCGGCTGCTGAGCTGTGTGGAGGCACAGGGGGGCCTCCTGAGGACGTTGTCCCCGGCCCAGTGCAGAGCGGTGGCCCAGCAGCCAGCAGTGGAGGTGGAAACCTGCAACTCCCAGCCCTGCCCAGCCAGGCAAGCATGCAGTGGGAGGGTCCCCACAGGGTTCATCCATGTGTGGAGCCCACCCTCCCAAGTTCCCTCTTCCCAAGGCCTTTGATTAGGCCCCATTCTGGTAATGCCTGGTGACAAGTGGTGACACCTGGTGCCTAAGCATGCCCCTTCAGAGTTCCCCTGGCCCTGGAGCCCCTGGCCACTAACTTCACTGGCTGAACTTTCAGCCCTGGCTGTGGAGTGGCAGTGAGAAGCCGAGGACATCACCTTGTCCTCACCATTGTCTCGCCCATACAGCCCGCACTGCCTTTTTTCCCACTGGGCAGCTGGGATGAGTCCCCTCCCTCTCTGGACCCCTGTCTCGTCTGTCCAGTGCTGGCCCGCTCATGGCTCTGGCTCTTTCCCCTTGTGCTTGGCAGACTGTAGTCAGCCACTGCTCTTGCTCCAGCCTTAGCATCCTTCTGACCACAGCACCTGGGCAGCTCTGCCCAGGCATGCAGCTGAAACCCACTTGTCCCCCAAACCTGGTGCTGTGACCCCATTTGGTACCCATTTCTCAGCCCCTGCAGTGGAGCATGGAGCATCTCACTGTTGGGAGCTCCTGGAGGGCAGGAGGGATGGCTCTGTCTCCCCACACCTGGTACCAGATGGGGTGCCTGGTCACCATGTAAGAGGTCTTCTTTGGGGAAACTTGAAAGTGCCTTGAAGGTCACTTGGTCTGGAGCTGCAGGGAATGACTTCTGAACTTTGCTTTTTTGTGGGGCAGATTCTAGGTTCTTGATGTTGTGGGGGGTAGCTTTACTTGCCTGCCCCCAAGCTGGACCATGCCTACAGCGAGGTGGCAGAGCAGGGCCTGATGAGGGTCTCATGCTGTCTCAGGTGGAAGGTATCAGACACTGGCCCCTGCACAGTAGCCTGTGGAACAAGTGTGGCCTTCTGGAATATAACACCTGTGCAGGGGTCAGATGGCCTGGAGGCACCAGCAACTACAGGGCCCTGCTGCATGGATGAGAGGTCACCTGCTCTCAAGCCCTGTACCAGGATGGCATGTCCTCCAGGCTGGAGTCAGGTAAGTGACCAGGGCAGGAGGTGGCTGAGGCTTCTGGTTCTTACCTGGCTAGGAGAAGAGCAATGAGTGCTGGTTAGCAGTGCTTTGCAGGCCATGGCAAGAGCACCATCCCTCTGCTGGGTGCTGTGAGGGCTACCCTGGCCAGAGGACAGACTTGGAGCGCCCTGGGAGGGGCAAGCCAGGCTCAGAGGATAGAGAGCTGTTGGGAGCATCCAAGGAGGGTTGGACTTGGCTGCTGCCCCACCTGGCATCCAGGGGTTCTGGGCTTAGTGGCCTTGCTCTCAGAAACTGACCAGACCAGCCCCTCCCAGCTGGGGGTTGCAGGCCAGGCATGCCTACAGACCCCACTGCTAATCCCCAGCTCATAGCCTCACCCAGTGAACACCTCCATGATGGGACACAAAGGCTGAAGTGGGGTACACAGAGCACCATAGGGGCTGAGAGGCAGCAGGAGGAGCAGCAGGGGGAGCCCTATGTGTGCAGCCACTTCCTGCTCTCTCTGCTCTCTCCTCAGGAGGTCAGGATGGGGGCCAGGGAGCTGGGCACCCAGGGTGGAGGTGGGAATGCCAGATCCACTCACCAGATGCTCTCATCCTGCAGCTGGACACCACGTCTCTTGGGGAAGAGGCCCCCTTGCCACTGGGCAGTGCCAGGCTAGAGGCTCAGGCCACACACATGTGGACTCCTCTGACAGGGCCATGCTCTGTCTCCTGTGGGCGAGGTGAGGTCCCAGAGCGTGCCTGAGGACCAGCAATGGTCACAAGCTCTCTTCCCTTTCTGCTTTGTAGTGCTAAAGAGCAGGCTCACAGGAGACCTGAACCAAGTGCCTCCTGCCTGCTCTACCTGTGTTCCCTGAGTGGTTGAAAAACAGGGAGGTTGATAGTACCCAGCAAGGTTGGCACCGAGAACCTGTCTCTCAGTTCTGCAGAGCTGCGAGAGGTGGGCCCAAAGTGACCAAAGCAGAGAAGCAAAGTTACTCTTAAGAAATACAATGTTGTTTTGTTTTTCCAATTTTTTATTGTAAACTGCTCCCTGTCATAAAACTCAGCATCTTAACCATTTTGTAGTGTCTGGTTCAGGGCATTAATGAATGCACACTGCCCTGCGCCAGTGTCACTGTCCTCCTCTAAGGCCTCTCCATCAGTACTGCCCTCCCTGCCCAACACCAGCTTCCCCCAGGCCCTGCTGCCTGAAGTCTCCCAACTGTCTCTGTGGTTTCACTCCTCTGGGGACCCCAGATCTGTGTGGTCCCACAGGGTTCGTCCTTTGTAACTGGCCTCATTGACTTAGCATAATGTCCCCAAGTTTCCTCCATGTGGTAGCAGGTGTCTCACTCTCTTCTTTCTTAAGTCTAAAAAGTTTTCTGTGTAGACTTGAGGACGGCCCCTGGCTTGTCTCCAAGTTAGCTTCAGTGAGTGCTGCTGCGCCGAGTGTGGGTGCTGAGGCTCGGCCTTCAGTATTTCAATGACACCCAGAGTGGAACTGCTAGGTCACAGGGGCATTCTAGGTTTAATTTTTGGAGGAAGCACTGTACTGTTTTCCACAGCGGAACCCTGCATTCCCCCTGACTGAGCACATGGGTCCAGTTTCTCCATATGCTCATCAATATGATCTTCTGGTTTTAAAAGAATTTAATTTCTACCCTAATGGCTGTGGGAAGAAGCCAGTCACAGTGATGCACATCCGTAATCCTGGTGACTCAAGAGGCTGAGGCAGGAGGATGGAAGCCAGCCTCAGTAACTTACTGAGACCCTGTCTTAAAATAAAAATAGAAAGGGCTAGGGATGAGACTCAGTAGTTAAGCGCCCCTGGGTTCAATGCCTGGTGCCAATAAATGGATGGATGGATAGATAGATGATAGATACATAGATGTGATATGCAGTGTTTCCATACACAAGTCCTAACCATACACTCAGTCCAATATCAGTGTGCTTAGAACTGAGGCCAGCAAGCAACTGCTTTTGGGGATCCCAAAGAAATGATGGCCTTGATAGTTCACTGACAGTGAGCACCACGGAGGTGCCCTGACCTGGCACTAACCCTGCCTCTTGGTACAGCAGCCACTCCCACTTACTGTGCACCAGGCACTTCACGGCTGTCCTTCCACATCTTTATAAATGTCTCTGCAAGGTAGATGCCATTATGTTATATGAGCATGGGCTCAGAGAGATAAAGTCACTTGTCCAAGTCACACAGATGGTAAGTGGGCCTCATCTACTAGAGCTGCCCTGTGCTCCAGGTAGGTCCTTGATGAACCTGCCTCTCAGGGTGAGGGGGACCTGCTTCCTGCTGCAGGTCTGATGGAGCTGCGTTTTCTGTGCATGGACTCTGCCCTGGGGACACCTGTCCAGGAAGAGCTGTGTGGTGTGGCTGGCAAGCCTGGGAGCCGGCAGGAAGTCTGCTGGGCTGGCCCGTGCCCCGCTCGGTGAGTTGGGGAGGGGAGCTGCAGGGAAGGCATCTGACTTGGGGGTGGTCTCCTATGGAGTGCCGGCTTTCCTCCTGCAGGTGGGAGGCCCGAGCCTTGGCACCGTGCCCAGTGACTTGTGGAGGGGGTCAGGTGCCCCTGGCTGTGCGCTGTATAAGGTTGGACCACGGCCGCCCTGTCCCTTTGCCCCACTCCAAGTGCTGGCCAGTGCCCCGACCTGGCCCCTTTGAGGACTGCAGCCCAGAACCCTGTCCAGCCAGGTGAGCCTGCCTCTTCCCAGAAGACTGGAAGCTCTTGGTGCCCTCCCAAGGCTGTGGGGGGATCTGAGGCCATCCTGCATGGACAGTGCATTGCTCAGGACCCAGATGCTATGGGAGCACTCTGCTTTTCTAGTTAGAACCTGCTCTCTCTTCTCTCTCTCTCTCTTTTTTTTTAATATTTTTATTTGTGGTGCTGGGAATTGAACCCAGTGTCTCACATGTGCTAGGCAAGCGCTCTACTACTGAGCCACACCCCAGCCCTGGCTAGCACCTGCTCTTTACTGAGCTCTTAGTGTGCCCACTTGCTATTCTGGAGCCAGGGACACAGCAGTGAATAAGCAGATGAGTTTCCCTGCTCTCCTGGATCTGACATAGGACAAGGAGTGATGGACAGTGAGACCTACAGTCTTATTGGCAGCATTGGGTGTGACACGGCAACATGGAGGGAAGGAAGGTGGCAGGGCTGGTGGGCAGGCTCAGGGTGGACTGGTGCTGGGACATGTGTTAGAGTGGACACCTTTGCCCTGTTGGGACCCCACATCCTTATGGACACAGCTGTTGTTCACCCTCAGCTTCCCCTTCTGTGAAAAGGGTTGATTTGAATGCTCTGTCCTCGGTGCTGAGCTTTTTGGTGGGGACCTTGGTGCAGAGAACCTTATCCCCAGTAGGGAGAAAGCCTCTCCAGGTCCTCCCAGCCTCCTGTCTCTAGCCAGTCTGGAGGGATGAGGGGGACACCTTGAGTTCCTGGCCATAGGGAGCTTTGGCTCCCTTATTCAGTGTGTCGTAGGTGGCACCACCAGCTAGTGGCTTGCAGCGTGAGCTTTTTTTTTCATGTGCAGGATGGGGGTGGGGTGGGGGGTTATGCAGAGGGTCCATGGGAGATAATGACAAAGAGATACTGCCCGACAGCCAGTGCCAGGGGCTGCCTGGCCTAGAGTCTTGAGCCCTGTCCACCCAGGTGAGGGGACAGGACAGATTAGGGCATGTCTGTTGGGCTTCTGGTGTGTGCAGACACCAGGCAGGCTCCCTGGGGATTCCAGGGCAGCACAGTGGCACATGGACAGTCCTGAGGAAACAGGGCTGCCTGGCCAGCTGTGTTGGAGGTGGAGTTGCGGTTCAAGTGCAGAGAGGCAGGTGGTCGTCCTGTGTTCAGCTGTGGGAAGGTCCTAGGGGTGGTGTTTGCAGGACCCTGAGGGTGCGACACCATCCATGGATGGGGAGGCTCAGATGGGACCACAAAGCCTCCACTGTAGATGTTTTCCCTACATGGCACATCCCTTAGCCTGAATTCTTATGTGGTAGAGTCTATGTCTGGGCTTTCTACCAGGTTTGGTTTGATTTTTCCTAGCTTTTCCCTAAACCATATCACATTGTTTTATGTTTTGTAGCTTTAAAATCCATTTAGAAGGAGGGTACAGTGGCACATGCCTATAATCTCCGTGACTCAGGAGGCTGAGGCAAGAGAATTGCAAGTCCAAGGCCAGCCTCAGCAACATAGAGAGACCCCATCACAAAATAAAAAAGATGTGGGGTGTAACTCAGTAGTGGAATGCTTGCCTAGCATGCACCAGTCCTGGCTTCAATCCCCTCCTGCCAGGGAAAAAAGACAAAACCAGAATCTATGTAGCACCCACAGTGCAAGTGTCTTGCTTTCTTTGCTCATGCTGAAGTCCCGTTTTATTTTTTTACATCACATTTATAAATGGTATGGGGTTTTGATGGGAATTACGTGCACACACAAGCTCTGGCTCCCGTGGAATGTTGCTGTAGCCAGTCTGGCCTCCTCGCTGTTCCAGAGTGTTCCAGGGCTCCTCCTGACTCCTAGCTCTTCCCTGACTCCTAGTTCTTCTCTGGATCTGTGGGGTTCTGGTTGCCTTGGCTTTGCTGACAGCAGGGGTGTTCTCCCAGACACATCCAGACTGCTGGCCCAGACACCCACACTGTGCCCTATTGCTCCTCAGCACCCCACCACCTAGCGCTTGTGCTCTGCTCACAGTTCTGCTCATGGTCTCCCTTCCAGGGCAGGGGCATCTCAGCTCACAATTCTGCCCCCCAGGTTATCCTGACAACTTTTGGGATATTTTAGTGGTCACAGTTGGGGAGGGGGATTTGCTACTGTCTCTATGGGCAGAGGGAGGAGCAAAGTTACCTGTTCTGCCATGCACAGGACTGTCCTCCAGACAAGGTCACATAGCCCCAGTGCCAGTGGTGCTGCGGTGGAGATTGTACACCCAAGAGGTGTGTCTCATTGTGGCTTGTGCCCTCACCCTGTGTCTGATCCCACATAAGGCAGAGCGACAGGTCATGAGGGCAGTGGTGTGTAGCATTTAGGACCCCAGGCCCCAGTACAGGTATCCTGGGTTCATGTTCCAGTTCTGAAAAATGCGGCCATTCTTACTTGTTGAGTGATTCTAAGTTAACACAGCAGGGTGGTGTGGATCTCTGACACCCCATCTCTCCTCACAGGAGGTGGCACATTGAGATCTGTTTTCCATTATCCTGGGCATCACTTCCTGTGCTGGCACTTGGCCAGCCAGCAGCTCTGTGGGTTTGGGGTATTATGTGATAAAGGGGACAAGAGGGCTCTTTTCTCAGAGCCCTTCAGAACCTTTCCTGCTCCAGGGAATCCTGTGACTATGCAGAAGACTTAGCAGCTGCACTGCCCTCACCTGGCCCTGGAATCTGTGCAGGAGAATGTCCTAGGACACAGAGGTGGAGCAGAGCCCCTATGGGCAGTGCCATCTTTTCAGGAGCCAGCTCTCTCTGGGTTTTCTCTTCCTGTAGGTGGAAGGTCACATCCCTTGGTCCTTGCTCAGCCAGTTGTGGCCCTGGCACTGCTGTCCGCACAGTGGCCTGCATGCAACTTGAAGGAGGCCAGGACACTGAGGTGGATGAGGTGTCCTGTGCAGCTCTGGTGCGGCCACAAGCCAGTGTCCCCTGCCTCCTCACTGACTGTACCTACCTGTGGCACGTTGGCACCTGGACAGAGGTCAGGTCTACAGCCCGTCAGACTTCCCAGTGGGACTGGGGTGGCATCAGCTGTGAGTCCTCACACACAAGGAGCCCTGTAGGCACTGATTCACTGTGGCCTCCTAAAGGAGGAGGGGGATCTCCTGGGGAAGGGGCTCCTAGAGACAGAAGGCACCACAGGCCCAATCGTGAGGCAGCTGGGCCTTCGGAGGCCAAGAGTGGAGACACTGGGGCACAAGGGCAGACAGTTCAGTCCTACAGAGAGCCACGGCCACCCTGTGCCAAGCACCAGAAAGACAAAGGCAAAGAGGACTCAGAGTGCCCAGGAGGGCCTGGTTCAGTGGGGGTACAGGGGTGTACAGGGGTAGAACAGATGAGACGATCCGCAGCCCCAGAGGCCTCCTCCAGGGCCACTTCCCACCTTGGTCAGCAGGACCCTGGGCATCTGGGCTGGGCAGAGGTGAGGGCCAGAGTTGGGCATGGTCTGATGGAACATGGAGGAGGACACCCCAAGGGGTGCCTGGTTCCTGCTATAGCTTTGGGGGGGTAAAGGCTGTGAGGGTGATGGGGTGAGATGGGTTTGAATCCTAATTCTTGCTACATACATGACTCACTCCAGGGCCCTCAGTCTCCCAACACATAGCATGGAGATACTTGTCACTCCCAGGTTACGTGAGGACAATATCAGATACATCTGGCTGTGGCACTGCTGTCCTCATGGCCAGCGTGATTCCTGCCTCCTTTTTGCAGTGCTCTGTCTCCTGTGGGGATGGCATCCAGCGCCGGCACGCCACCTGCCATGGAGCCCAGGCACCTGTGCCAGCCAGCTTCTGCCAGCACTCACCCAAGCCAGCAACAGTGCGCAGCTGCCAAGCTGGGCCTTGTGAGGGGCGGGGGACCCTCCACTCAGTGCCCCACAAAGAAGCCACTGACCCCAGCCAGACCACAGCTGCTGTTGCTGGTGCTTCTCTGGAGTGGCCCCAGGAAAGCCTGGTGGAGTCCAGTTAGGTTCCTTCCTCCTTTCTCTGTGGGAGGCTGGCTGCAGGGTGGGCAAAGCCACCTCTACCTGGGAAAGCCAAGACAAGCCCTCTGTCCTCTGGACTGCATGCTACTGGGCTCAGGGTAGACTCCCTTTCTGCTTGGCAAAGGGAAACCACACTTTTATTTATAACTGTCACCATATAGTGACTTGCTGGGTGCAGCCTAGAGCCCAGGTCCATGTGATACAACGTCAGTGCCCTGCACTGCCTCCTTCTCCCTGGAGAGCTGGAAGCGGCTCGGCCTTAGATCACAATGCTCTGATCCATGCAGTCCCATTCCTGACTTGAGGTGACTTCTTGCTGGGCCACCCTGTCCTGGCTCCTTGCACAGCAGGGAGAGCTTGGCCCTGTGCTGCTGGGACCCCCAGTGGTTATGCTCACCATGCTCCTGCTCCCTCTGTAGGTGCCTGTGGCAGGCAGCACCTGGAGCCCACAGGAACCATTGACATGCGAAGCCCAGGGCAGGCGGACTGTGTGGTGGCCATCGGGCGGCCCCTGGGTGAGGTGGTAACACTCCAAGTCCTTGAGAGCACCCTCAACTGCAGTGCAGGTACATCTGGGTTGTGTGGGCAGTTGCTGCCAGTTACAGGCCTGCCAGGGGCCGGCATGACTCTAGTGCTCTTGCTATTGGTGGAGTGCTCCACCTGCATACCTGCTTTTCATGCTCGGGGTCATCTAATGACCGCGGGGTGAGCACTCCATTTTGCAGAGGAGGAGCCTGAGGCTAGGAGAGATTGAGTAACGTGCCCCACTTGTCACATAGTCAGTAAGAAAGTGGTGCCTTGAACTCAACTCAGCCTACCAGGAGCACAGTGGCCGACCTCGAGTAGGGGTGCTGGGCCCTCACTGCCTGATACTTTCCAGGAGAGAAGTTGCTGCTTTGGGGCCGGTTCATGTGGAGGAAGTTGTGTGGGAAGCTGTCTGGCCTGACTTTCAGCTCCAGGACCAACATTCTGGTGGCTAAGCTACACCTTGTGTGGCCCGGAAGTGGAGTGCTGCTGGGGTACAGGAGCCAGCCTGCCCCTGGAACTTTCTACAGAGGTATAGCAAGGTGCTACCTCCTCAGAGGGCGACTGGGCCTGTGCTGCTGGCCAGGAATGGGGCCAGTTCCAGTGGGGGCAGTGAGCAAGATGGGGAGCCAGCCACGAAGGAACCCGGGTATTCAGTGTTGCTCTGCATGTGCATAGTGTGGGTTCCGGACAGGGCTGCAGCCCTTTTTCTCTGGGCCATGCAGCTGGACGGGGAGACATGGGACTTGGTCCACATCCTTGCCCAGTTCCTCAGGCCGTTGCCCTTGCCTTTCACTGGACATTCAGCTTCTTCAAGGTCCTTTTGTGAGCTGCTTTCCTTCAGTTCTCTTTTCATGCACCTGCTTGTGCAAAAATGCACGCTACCACACACCTCTCAGACAGAGGATGGCATCGCAGGGACTTCTGCCTTGCCCGTGGTCCTACTGCGATGGTCTGCTAATGACCTTGGTTGCCTCAGGGACTTGCTATCTTCCAGCAGCCCAAGGTGGCTCCAGAGATTGCTGGTCCCCCCATCGAATGTGGGGAGTTCAAGTCCCTCCCTGCCCCTCAGCAGTGAGCTTGCTTGGGTCAAGTGCTCACTTCCTGCCCTCCCCCCTACATAAGCATCTGAGCCTTAGGGAGGCTCCAGAGGGGCAGCAGTTGGGGCACAAGTGGCTGCCATATTGGGCCCTCTTTTGTGCCAGTTTCACTGGTGAGTACTTGTGTAGCATAAGTGCATCAGGCCCTCCTGACAAATGCCCTGCCAGGGTAAGCCACCATCCCTGCACTGTAAAGGAGGAAGCTGGGAGCATTGAAAGCATTTGCTAAAGTCGCTCAGCTAGGATTGGTGTAGGGGGTTCCATGGGGGCTTTTCCTGGGAGCCTGACCTTAAGCCAGTGCTGCAGATCCCTTCACTGCTCCCAACTGTGACCTGCCTGACATCAGCAGCCTGTCTGACTCTTGAGTCCCTGAGACCCACACTTGGTCTACCCACCTGCTCTCCCCTGCAGAATGTGACATACAGCTCTTTGGACCCCAGGGTGAAATCGTGAGCCCCCTACTGAGTTCAGCGATGACGGGTGCAGGGGGCTGCCGGGTCTTCATCAGTGTGGCTCCACAAGCCCGGATTGCCATCCATGCTCTGGTCACCCACATGGGCCCTAGAACTAAGGGAACCAACGCCAGCTATGTCTCAGTGAGTCCATGAGGGAATTTGCTGATTCTGGACAGCTGTCCTTTGGGTTGAGGATGGGGTTGCTGAGCTTAGGGGACCCCTTTCATTTACTTCAGATCAAAACCTTAGAATCATTAGTGAAAGAATGGGAGGAATTTCTTCCATTTATTCACCAAGAAGTGTTTATTGCACTACCTGCAAGAGGCAAGTAGGAAGGATCCCTTCTGTGTAGACAGCCAGTTAACCTGGGGTGGAAGCATGGTTTCCCATTTCCCAGCCTGATGTAATTTGCCAGAAGAGCACAGGTGGGGTGGAGGCTTTCTGTCTTTGGGAGAACAGTGCTGTGCAAGGCCTCAGCTCCCACAGAGGAGGCAGCCTGGCTTCTGAATCAGGCCTGGTCCCATCCTAGCTTTCTGGCACTCTGGCTGTGTGTTCTGGGGAAGTGGTGTAACATCCCTGAGTCTCATTCTCCTGAGTGGAACAGGAGTGGCCACCTGACAGGGCTCTTGTGAGGATTAGATGTGATCCTGTATGTGTGGTAATTTGCATACACAGGCCTGTAGAAACACTGGCTAGTCATCCCTCAGGGCTGTTCCTTTTGCTTGTCCCCTTTCCTGCAGATCCGGGATGCCCACAGCCTGAGGACCACAACATTCCATGGGCAGCAGGCGCTCTACTGGGAGTCAGAGGGCAGTGAGGCTGAGGTGGAGTTTAGCCAGGGCTTCCTGGAGGCACATGCCAGCCTGCAGGGTCAGTACTGGACCCTCAATCCCAGAATGCCAGAAGAGCCTGGAGCATAGCCAGGCCCTGCCTTGGATTTCTCTCCAAGCTTTGGAAGGAAAGAGAAGGAACCCAACACCTACTGAACACTAGTAGATGTCTGGGCAACCTGCAGGGTTTAACTCTGGTCTCAGAGTGCCTTCCAACTAGGACTTCCATCAATCTTAGGGATTCTCCTTTGGGGTCTTGGCCTTAGGTGTAGGAGGTGGAGACTCTTTGGGAAAGCAGTTCCCAGCCCTTCAGATGTCAATAAAGGAAATGGGAGGCCTGATCTGACGTTCTCTTCATGTAATCTGTCTAAACCTGGTTTGAAAACCCCCAAGGTGGCGATTCATTCGCCACCTTCAGTTGTCTTCCTCCTACTCGGGGAACAGGAAAGGCCAGGGAGAGTGGAGTCTGGACTGGGTCCTGAGGCTGGCGCACTCCCAACTCTCCGCAAAGGCCCACTCCTCCGTCCTAGGTCAGTCCAGGTGGGAGGATTTGGTATGCATAGGTGCAGCTGCCGCCAGGCTCGCCCCCACGTAATGAATACCCAGCCCTCGGTGCGTGCCTGCGAGCCCCGCCCTCTATGCTGTTGTCCGTCAACTGCCAACCTCTTCTGCGGGACCGCCCCTTATGCTAATATCCATCAATCTCCACTACCCTGTACTGCTGGAGGGCCCCGCCCACCTTGTAAAGAGCAACCATCCCCCTCCCCGCTCTCTATGCCAGTGTTCACCTGTCTGGCAGGCTCCGCCCCCATGCTAATCTCCACCAATCCTCTACCTTTCCGGCGGGTTCCGCCCCCTATGCTAATATCCACCAACCCTCTACCTCGCCGGCGGGCCCGCCTCCTATGCTAATGAACCCTCTCCCACAAGGCAGCGCGCGGGCGGACACGGTCTTTGTGCCGGCCCGGGGCTTCACCAAGGCGCCGCGGCAGCATGAGCGGCTCAGGCGCTGCGGGGGCGTCGGCCAGCCCCGCGCCACCCGCGCAGGAGGAGGGCATGACGTGGTGGTACCGTTGGCTGTGTCGCCTGTCAGGCGTGCTGGGGGCCATCTGTGAGTACCCAGCCGGGGGAGGAACCCGCATGGGTCAGGTTTTCGCTAGACTCGGCGAAGCCGCTGGGAGCCGGCGCCCTCGGGGTTGCGGTGGTTCCCGGCCTCTGGCCTGGGCTTGGCCCCGAGACTGAGTTGGTGGTTCGGGGCCATCAAAAGGGGAGCAGAGTGTCCCTGAGGTCGCCTGCCCTTTCCTACCTGGTCGAGGTGGGACAGCTGTTCCCAACCTTTGAGCAAAGCTTGTTCCTAAGTGGGGCGGGTGCAGATCTGGTCAGACTGTGGCAGGAAGGCACTGACTGGGAAGTTTGCTGAGTGATGGTCAGGTTGTGCAGGGGACAGGTGTTCCCTGAGGGCAGCTGGACAGTGGGCAGAAGGAGGCAACCTCTCCTTTGGATCCTCACTCTCCATTCTCTCTGTGGTCCACTCTGTTCGTGCTGTCCTCCCTGCCTCTCAGTGGCCCTCCTTCTACCCTCCAGACCTGCCAGGCACACACCCCAACCTCAGGTTACCAGGAGAATGGGCTGTTTTAGCACAGGCTCAGAGAAGACAAAAGGAGCGAAGATTCCCACACAGGTGAAGATCATGTTGCCAGCCTTCCAAAGCAAATAGGAGTCCATTGGCATGTCTGCTATCAACACTGTCACTTCTTGGAGCTTCAGGGCTGGGCTGGTCTTCGGAGTTGCGGGGATTCCAGTGTCTGCTTGGCACAGGGGGCTGGAGGCTTACAGGGGCAAACTCTTTTGCTCTCCTGCCAGAAGGAGCACCTGAGCATCTGTAAGCCCCAGCCTTGTGGTGAGCCAGGTGGAAGTTCTGGCAGGATGAGGCAGGGTTAGGAGCCTGCTGCAGGCAAGGTAGTTCCTATCCAAAGGCATAGCTCCTGCCCATTTAGGAGAGGTTGGTGGGGTGGAGGTCAGATTCTCTCAAGGATAGTTAGCTGTTTCCTGGCAGATCAGGTGGGTGTTACTGAGGGTGGCAGTGGTCAGTGGTGGAGAAAGGAAAGATCCTGATCATGGCTTGCAGGTTGCCATCCTCCCTCCATCTTGGTCAGCGTGGCCTACCTGACTCCCAGGTTGACCCTGGAGTCCCATCCAATTCTGTTCTTCTCAAAGTGGGGTTGCCCCAAGAGTACTGGTGCTGTGTTGGGGCCACAAGTAAACTTCAGGAGACCTGTGGCACACCCTGAAGGGTCTGCTGCTGCTGCACCTGTGCATTTTTTGAGGGGAACATTGTCTTATGAGTACCAAATAGTATACCACAGGGCAGAACGCACACATGCAGGTGTTCTAGAGGGGCAGTGTTGCACACCTGTGCTCCCAGCTACTCAGTGCACTGAGGCAGGAGGATCACAAGTTTGGGACCAACCTCTGCAACGTTGGAGACCCTGTCTTAGAATTAAGAAAGGAATGGGGATGTGGTTTAGTGGTAGAGCACCCCTGGGTTCAATCCTCCAGTTACCCCCATCTCACACACACACCCAAGAGGGAGAGGAAGAGGGAGTGGGGAAGGAGAGATACAACAGGGATTGTTTTAGAGATGTAACGGGTTTCTACAAGAGCTGTGCACCTGGCTGGTCACTTTGGGATAGGGTTGCCCTCCCTGAGTTGAGAGGCCTTAGGGAGTTGGAGGGGTCTTAACCCCGGTCCTAAGGCCATCTGGAGGGATTAGCCAGGAGAAGAGAGGGCTGCGTGGCAACATCCCCTTAACATGGAAGACGCAGGCATTGGCAATCCTGGATGGACACCCATTAACTGCACATTGTCAAGGACTCCTGACTGGAGCCGTCTGTCTGTCTTGGACCTGGTCCTCCCCAAAGTCTGTGTTGTAAGGGCAGTGGGGGCAGCATCAGGGCTGCAGGCGGGGATGCTGACTGCAGCAGGCAGCACAGGCTGCTCAGGTGAGACCAAGCCTAGCTACTCCTGGGCAGAAGCCATGCCATCCTTTGGCTCTCTGAAGGGGCAGTCAGTCCCCTGCATCTGTGACCTAGGGGAACCTTGCAGCTTGAGGCACATTGATAAGAGTGCCAAGGGCCACTTTTGAGTGCATGGCACAGGAGGCAGTCCCACTCAGTTCCGGTCACTTATCCGGTTTCTTCCTACATCGCTTACCGTCTGCATAGGGTTACACGGGAAGATGGAAAACAGCAGAATTCCAGGGCCAGGTGGAGGGATCAGGTGCAGAGGAGCTGCTGCAAGTTTAATGAGCTGGTTGCTGATTGCTGTGTCAGAGGGCTAGTGTCCCTTCCTGCCCTTTCCTGGCCACCACTTGGGCTTGCTTCCTGCCCAGCTCCCTGGAATGGCCTGGCAGCTCCTGAAGCTCCTGCTGCAGCTGGGCTGTGGTAGAGGAGCGAGTGGGTGCAACAGCCCCTGCTCTGAGGTGCAGATGGGAAGAGAGGGGCATCAGGGATCCACATTCGGGGCAGGGGGGGACACGCCATCCTCTCTGGTCCCGTGGTGTTCTCACATCGGGTAGGTCGGCTACATACAGGGAAGGCCACTCAGTTGCTAGAGAGCTGAGCCGACTCCTGTCTCTCTGGTCCTGACGGCTGTTACACAGGAGAAGGAGCCCCTTGTCCCAAAGTCCCAGCCAAGGACTCCAAGTCTGAGGATTCCTTATATGGCCAGTCCATGAGTGGAGACAGGTGGCCCTCACTCAGGCTCTGTCCTGAGCCTTTGACTGACTTTATTCTTTAATCCTAACCACCTGCGAGGTGGCTGGATTCAGAGGACAGGTCCCTCCGGGCCTCAGAATGAAGGTGGGGGACGTCCTCCAGAGTGCTGGGAGCTGGCCAGCTTCGAGGTCCTGGACGAGCTGCTTCACCTCTCCAGCCTCCTGGCTTGGAGGGAGCCTCCAGCTGAGTGGAGGGCTGAGCTCTAGCCGGGTTCTCGGGGCCGCCCCACGCCTCCCAGGCAGCCCTTCCATCAGCTCTGCCACCTCCCTGCTGACTCCTGCTGTGCTGCTTCTTTCAAGCTTGTGCCATCTCCGGACTCTTCAGCTGCATCACTATCTACCCTTTGAAAATTGCCGCTGGCGTGTGGATGATGTGAGTAGCACGTGGCTGTCCTGCCTGGTGGGGATTGGGGCCTGCGGACTTCAGGCACTGCGCGGGCCTTTCCTCCTTCCCACTCATCCTCGTTCAGGTTTCTTAATGAGGAGTCGGGGGATGCCCGCCTGTGCCTTTCCTGGGTGCAGAATTGAGATGGTAAACAGTCCTTGAGCGTCCGTTGAGTCGGGCTCTTCAGACCCCTCTTCCAGTGTGATATTCCTGCCCCCTGGGAGCTCCTGGGCTATAGTATGGAAGGGCTGTGGTCAGGGTGGCCAGGAGGGAGCTGGCCTGATCTGGGAGAGGGCGATGCTGCTGGGAGGTGGTGAGCAGTGCCAGAGGCGGCCCAGCGGGAGAAGCAGTCCTGTGCTGTGCGGGAGCTGGGGCTGCCACGCCAAGGGCGAGCCCCTGCCCACGGACAGGCACAGGCAGGGCAGGGACTGGTGCAGTGCAGCTCTGGCACATGGTATGGCACTGTGCTGTATACTTGCTGGTATCCACAAGGGGCTCCAAGGGGCACTCAGGACAAGAGGCAGGCCCTGCCCTCAGACGTTAGGCCTGGGGGAGACTCGGGACAGGTGGAGGGGGACAGAGGCCTGTGCTGGCCTGAAGCAGCAGGGGTGGAGGCTAGTGAGTGGGGCATGGGAGGGTCCATTGGGCGGATGCGGGGCTGTCTTGGAGGCCTGGGCAGCGACTAAGAGTTAAAAGAAAATTCCTGCCCAGGGCTCCAGTCCTGGGGCTGCATCTCTATAAAAGAGGTATTGATGGCACTTTCCTTTCAGGCTTGGGCAGACAGCCTGGCATACAAGGCTCAGTGCCTGGTAGCCGGCCATTACCCACGGGACAGGGCAGAAGCCCCAGGGGTCAGCTGCTCCCAGTGAGCGTGCTGGGGTAGAAGGCCTTTGAGTACCTTCCTCCCAGTGTGGGCTCCCACGGCCCTGTGTCTGCCTAGCCTACCTGTCCCTGGGCTCAGGACTCCATGGGGTCGGGCACCCATCATCACGCCTGCCTGACTGTGGGTGGCCTGGTGACTCTGCTGTCTGTCCTCCCTGGGGTGGTGATGTAGGTGATGGTGGAGCTGTGGGTGCTCTGCATGGCTGAGCTTGCTGTGGGCTCAGTGCCACTTGAGAGGGTCTTGTTCCTCTGTCACAGCCAAGGACGACGGAGCCAGACGGCCAGCCTCTTCCATCATGAGTGCTCAGTTCAGGCAGGGGCGTGGGGGTGTGGGCACAGCTGGGGGTGAATTGCTTGTAAGAGGCTCTCTGGGGATAGCTGCTCTCTGTCCTGGAGTAGCCGGGCACTTCCTGGGTTGGGTGGGAGGGGGAGTCTTCCTCATGGTGCTGGTTTGCCCCTGGCTGTGGGTTGTCACCCAGCTGTCCCTCTCTCCCGCCCTTGCCCTAGCATGAACGCCTTCGTGCTGTTGCTGTGTGAGGCGCCCTTCTGCTGCCAGTTCGTGGAGTTTGCAAACACAGTGGCTGAGAGGGTGGACCGGCTGCGCTCCTGGCAGAAGGCTCTCTTCTACTGTGGGTGAGGGACTGCTGGGCAGAGCCCCTGACATGGTTTCCCAAAACCCTGCTGGCAATAGGACCAGAAGGGCCGCTGGTGAGGGTGGATGGGGCAGGTGCTGGTGCATGGGCTTCCTCTCTCGAGTGGGACTTGGTGGCCTCGGGTGGAATGACTACATGATGGCTCCTGACGAGCGTGGCCTAGCAGTCCCACATCTGGGCATCAAGTCTGTGAGGGTCAAAGATGGATGGGGTTGAAGTGCCTGCAGCTTTGTGTGCAGTGAGACAGTGGCAGGCTCTGGGGGTTTGGTCCCTTGGTGGGGAGTTAGCAGATGTGGATCTGAAGGGGCCTTGCTGTGTGGCCTTTCACAGCAGCTTGGTTGGCCTAGGTGTCCTGATGAGAGCTGGAAACGCAGGACGGGACTTGGAGATATCATGGCCTCTAAATATGCTTTGCGTCTACTTTCCTGTTTCCCACAAGTTCAGTATGTGGCTCTTCACATCACAGTCACCAGACAGAATGCCTGCAAGTAACTCCTTAGGCGGGAGCTCTGAGAGCAGGCCCTTTGCACAGGAGGCTGTTATTGTTCCTGATTATCTTTAAGATAAGTGCAGACTAGTGCTGCCTGGCAGCCTGCCCCTGAGAGCACAGACGCTGGTTTCTGCAGGCCCTCCTGTGTCTAAATGGTGAAGGATGACAGGATCAGAGACACCCCCCCGCCCCTTTTTTCTTTTTGGTATTAGGGATTGAACCCAGAGGCAGTTAACCACTGAGCCATGTCCCTGGCCTTTTTTTTTTTTGAGACAGGGTCTCACTAGGTTGTTAACAGCTTTGCTAGGTTGCTGAGGCTGGCCTCGAACCTGCAATCCTCCTGCCTTAGCCTCCTGAGCCATTGGGGCTACATGCGTGCACCACTGTGCCCAGCTGCATTTTCTTATTTGAGGACTTTCTGGTTACTTCACAGCCTGTTAGTGTATCACTTAGCAGGTTATGTGTGTTTCTTTATTAAAGATCGCATACCTCCTTACATTTCCTGCACATATTTTCTGGCCTGTTGTTTGCCTTGAGTTTTATTTTGAAGGTCTCCCCTGGGCTGTCCCTTCCTGTGGTTTCTGTTGCTACTTTATTGCAGAGGTGCCTGGACTTATGATGGGGTCTTGGCCCACACACCCACTGCACGTCAGGTGTGCATGCACTGTTCTGCACCCAGGTGCCACCACTCAGCTCAGTGACGTCATGTGTGTGCAGAGCCTTGTGGCCATTCATGTGAACATTATGAGATGATGCCCTGACATGTGTCCAGAGCCTAGGAAGGATCAAAACCCAGATTCTAAGCACAGTTTCCACTGAGCCTGCAACCCTTTTGCACCATTGTAAAATTAAAACAAAACAAAACAAAACAAAAACAACTCTAAGTTGAACCATCGCAAGCCAAGGTCAGACAGTCTGTAACTTGAAATGTGCAGCTGCAGTAACATCTAGAATGGAAACTCAGGTGGCATGTAGCTGGTGGAGTCTGACTTCCTCTCAGGAAGGTGGGACAGCCATTTTCCTGGCTGACCCAGGAGTCACTGCTGCTCTGGTGGCCAGGATCAAGAATCAGCTGCTGGGATTTTAAAGCCAGAGCAGATCACAGGCCAGGTGGCACCCAGCTGGGTGGGAACTGGCCTGGGCTGTGCCTTGCCCATGTCTGCACTGAGGAGCCTGAGGCCAGGGGTCTGAGATGGGGACCCTACCTGTCAAGCTTTGGCTGGTTTTACTGTCCTAACAACAGCGCTTGCTCAGTACCTATGGTTTCCAGGCCCCAGGTCAGCTTGGTAGTTGGCACAACTCACCCTGGTCAGTCTGAGGCCTGACCTTATGTCACAGCAAAGGACTGAGCTTTAGAGCTAAGCAACTTGGTCACAGGGATTTTTATGAACAGAATCTCTGGGCACAGCCTCTCTCTATGAACAGGGAGGGCTTTGGACTCTTTGTAGGTCACAGACCTTGCTGAGAATCTGATGAGAGCTTTGGCTCCTCACCCCAGTAAGGCACAGGTGTTGGCAGCCTGTTGGGGCTACCTCACGGCTTCAGAAGCCCCACCTGAACGTGTGTCCCTGTTGGGTTCTGAGGATCTTTCTCCCCATCCCCCCACCAGAAGTCTGGAGGGATGGTGGTGGCACAGAGTGGCAGTGCCCCTTGACCTCTGTCTCTCCCCTAGGATGGCCATCGTCCCCATCATCATGAGCCTGAGCCTGACCACACTGCTGGGCAATGCCATCGCCTTTGCCACAGGGGTGCTGTATGGACTTGCTGCCTTGGGCAAAAAGTGCGTCTGGGTGGGCCTCCTGCCTCCTGCTGTCCAGGGGGGAGGGCTGAGGGTGCACTCTGCTGTCCAGCTATGGGAGTTGAGGCACAGGGGTTGCCAGTGGCTCATCAGTTCTCTAGGGAATGCAGGCAAGACCACTGGGTGGCCTTTGGGTGGCCCGTGTCACTCTGATTGGCCTCTGTCCATCCAGAGTGTGTAGACCCCTCATAGCCCGTTGCCACCCTCCCCCTGCAGAGCCCAGACTGAATAGATTTTCTCAACCCAACATCCAGGCAGTCTGTGCCAGTTTCAGAAGTGGCCAGCCCTTTGTCCCCTAGCAGTAGCCTCTGTCTGGGGAACCAGAGGCCCAGTAGGCTCTGCCTGCAGTCATGCCTGGATTGGGTGGTAGCCAGGAGGGCTGGGCCTGAGGCTGGGCCCTGCAGGACACCCCCGCTCTCTCCCCAGGGGTGATGCCATCTCCTATGCCCGGATCCAGCAGCAGAGGCAGCAGGCAGACGAAGAGAAGCTGGCAGAGACCCTGGAGGGGGAGCTGTGACGAGTCCACAGTGGGGTCCATGGGCTTCTCTGGAGGAAGCAGAGCATCAGCCCTATGGGACAGCCTGGGAGAGGACCCCCCACTGCCTGACCCTCTTCTGCCAGCCTGTTCTCCAAGCCTGACTTGGCTGGTGCTCAGGGCCTGGGCTGTATGGCCCATCTCAGTGCAGTGGGGATGGCCACCTGGCCTGATCCTGCCAGCCTGGCTTAGTGGACTGGGCTTCTGGTGGGTCTGCAGGCCCCACGTGATAGGGTCCACCCCAGGCCTAGGAGCAGCTTCCCCCAGACACACTGGCCCTGGCTGGGAGTTGAGGGGCATGTCACCTGGGCTCTGGACTCCCCAACCAGGTCCCTGAGGCCCGAGCACTGAAGCTTAGGGAAAGTTTCCCAGCTCTCCTGGCAGGTGGAGTTCCAATCCTGCCCAATTTCCCTGTCCTCAAGGCAGAGGTTGGGGAGAACAATGTCTCCAAGCTGACTGCTGCTGCCCAGGGACATGGCCAGTCCTCTGGGAGGGAGCCCATAGTGCTCCCAAGTTGCACCCCTGCCCCCACAGCAGGCCTGGCAGTGGCTGGCTGGTCAGGTGGACCCCCTCCCAGTCCCTGGCATGTTGGACAGGCTCCTCCAGGCACCCTAGCTGCTCTGCCTTCTCAGCTGCCCCAGGCTGCTGGCTTCTGCCTCTCACTCCACCTCAGGCCCTGGTGCTAAGGGGGTGGGGAGTGGTGCTCATAGGGTCCCACCCACTCCTCTGCTGTGGTCCTGTGGGTGGTAGCAGCTGCGGCATCCTATAGTAGGGACTGAGCTTGGTACACCTCAGGTATGCTTGCCAGCCTGCCCCTGGGGAGCTTCCTGCCTTTGCAGAGCTGGGCAGAAGCCAGAGCCCATCTCCCCCACAGAGCTATATCCCCTGTCCCAGTGCCAGGCCACCAGGCACAAGCCTCTATGCAGGCACATGGGGAAGCAGGGACCCCTCCTGGATGTATCTGTTCATGCCTCCCATCCTCCTCCCACACTGCTGACTCTTCCTTCTGCCCTGTGGCCTTGACCCTGGTTTGATTAGCAGATTGGCTCTTGGCCACTAAGCATATGTCTGACAAGGTCTGGCCACGCCTCGATGGACCTGGACAGAATAGGCTGCTGTGGAAAACTCTGCTTCTGGGCCCAGCTCCCTGTCTCCCTCCCTCCCAAACCCCCAGGTGGGCCTGCAGTGGGCCCCCAGAACTCAGGGACTGGCTCTTGCTCCCAGGAAAGCAGCCCCAGGTCTGTTTCCCAGGGGGAACACGCAAGCCTGCAGAGTTTGGGGCTGGGAGCAGGGCCTCTGCCCAGCACTGCCCCAGGACACATCAGTGGGGTCTGGAGTGGGCCTTGGCCCTCCAGGATCCTGGCCAGGCTCAGTCCTAGGTTGGTGGGACACGTGCCTTCAGGGTTCCTTAAGGGCTACCATCCTCAGGCCATGCTGGGCTCAAAGGGCTATGCGTGTGTGTGCAGTGGTAAGACCCATCTACCTCCCGGGAGGAGCAGCCCTGCCTGCCCCCCGCTCACTTGTCTGGGTGTGGGGCTTGAGTCACTCCTGCCAGGCCCCAACCCATTCAGAGGGACCTTGCTGCAGGTGCAGGGAGAGGAGGTGCTGGCTGTGTGTAGTATTAAGGAAGGTGACATCCACCTTGAGGGGAAACCCATTGCTGGGCTGGGCAGGCCATAGGTTGGGTCCGAGGCAGGAGGGCCTTGGTCACAGGCCAGAGTGGGGTGTTGCTTGCCAGGAGATTCCCAGGTGGCCTGAAGTCAGCTCTGGAGGCCCGCATCGGGGGCGGGGGACATCACTGGGACTCCAGCCCCACACCTCCTCTGTGCCCGTTCCTGGTGTGCTCCTCCATGCAGCTGCATTTTGAGCAGTAAAGCAGGGCTGCAGTTCCTCCGCTTGCTCTCTGCTGTTACCTTCTGTCTCTGGCGCCTGTCAGCAGTAGGGATACCCGTGTCCAAGACGGCGGAGCAGGAGCTGCTGGCCCAGGAGTAACTGAAGGCCCTGTCAGCCTGCTTAGATGGGGAAAGGGGCTCCAAGGTGGACCCACCACACTGCCCCTCCTACCTCTCTGCTGCACTGAGCTCAAGTCCAGAGTGACCATGAATTTAGGGCCCTACTGGGGCAGCAGGCTCTGAAGCCATGGCCGGTGTCTGGTCTGGCCTCCCTGCAGGGGTGGGGAGCCTCCTCCAGCTAAAGACCCCACTTCTTCCTCCATAGGGCTGCAGGCCCAACTTATTTATTTTTGTAAATAGGGTGAACAGTTTGCAGATGGTTGCCCCTATCCCTGAGGTGGGGCTGATGTAGGGCAAGTGGCTTTCCTGTGCCCTGGCCTCTGGAAGTAGGGCATGTGTTGCTGCATGATGTCCACAGACCCTCCTGTCCACACCAAGATGCCTGGAGGAGGCCAAGTGACGATGTTCCTGTGCTGAGCCAATGCCACCTCCAGTGCTGCTCTGTCCTCCACACGGCCTGGCACACGCCAAGGGCCAGCCTGAGAGCCAGCAGGTCTGCACCACCTCATGCAGGCCGCCTGAGCCGGAGCATGCTGCCTGTCCAGTCAGAAGCAGGTCCTGGTTGGCCCTGTGCTGCGGCTCATAGGAGTGACGGCTGCACCGCGTCCCGGCTGCAGGGCATGGGTTTGTGGCCACCGTGGAGGCCTGGCCACCTGGCAGGTAGATCCCTGGCCTAGTGCAGGAAGGACCTCCTCCTGCTGCTGAAGAAGGACTCGATCTGCTCCAGGGAGCGGCCCTTGGTCTCAGGCACACAGCAGCCCGTGAACACTAGGCTCACCAGGCAGATGGCCGCGAAGAAGAAGAAGGGCACCTGGAGGCTGAAGGCTTTCTGAGGGAGGGAGCAGAAGGCGGGTCAAACAGGAGGCCTGTGGGGCCTCTCCCAGGACCTGTCTCCCCTTGGGGCTGGTCTAGGTATTCCTGGAGGCTCCGCTCTGCACCCTCTAGCAGCAGTGTGTGTCCAGCTCTGTGCTCTGCCCTGGCCCAGGCCGCTCCAGTCAGCTGCTCATGGATTTTGGAGCAGGGCTAGTTCTGGTGCCACCAGGCTGCTGGCTGCAGCAGGAGGTGGGCTGGTGAGTGGGCAGCGCCTGGGATGGCAAGCCTGAGTGTGGATGTTGCGCTCTCGGCTGCTGGCAGAGCTCCAGGCTGTGTCCTGGCCTGGAGGGGACCTGACTTCTCAGAAGAGTTCCCCAACTCATTCTCGTATCTTAAAATTTAGGGGCCGTGGTGTGCTGCGCCCTGACCATCCTCAGCCTTCTAGTAAGGGCACGTGCTCTTCTCCCAGGAACACTGTGGGGTTGGGTCACTTCGCAGAAGGCCTGGCACCACACAGGGGCCCATGGCAAACACTTACCACCACCAGCAGGAAGGACTTGGTGAGGACGAAGGCGGTGAGCCAGCTGACCAGCACACAGAGCCCTGAGGCTACGCCACGGGCACGCAAGGGCAGGATCTCCGACATGAGCAGCCAGGTGATGGGCCCCCAGCCCATGGCATAGCCTGCCAGGAGAGGGGAGAGTGGTGGGGGGGCACACCGGGTCTGTCCCCACCTCTCTAGCCTCCCCCCTCAGCAGACAAACAGGACAGCAGTAGGGCCCCTGCCTCACCCGCGAGACAGCCCCTCACCCAGGCCATCACCCCACCCCCAGGAACCCCAGTCCTACCCATGATGAAGAACATGGTGGCCAGGAGGGGCACCAGAGTGAGGTAGCTGGTGGGTGTGGCCGGGGGCTGCTCTGTGCCCGCCAAGGACAGGGTCTCGAGGCTCACAGTGCTGTTGGGGGTCAGAGGCCTTGGACCAAATTGGACATACAGCCCCAGCGTCAGGTTGGCAGCAAACATGATGGTTGCTGTGGACACAGGTGGCCCTCGGGGGCCAGGACCCTCTGAGCCATGGCTCTCCTGGGGGAGCTGTCATGCTCTGTGGCACCCTGAGCCGGGCAGCATGGCTGGCTTGGGACAGGCCTCCCACAGGGTAGCCCACACACTGCCAGCCCTGGTCTGGGCTCCCCTCACCCCCGGTGCGTTGCTCACTCGAGCTCCAGCAGGCTTTCTGGAGCAGCTGGCTGGTGCCAGGTGCTGGGGAGGCCCCAGGTGGCTGTGCCCTAGCTCTGGCACAAGTGGCAGTGGGTAGAGACGCTGTGGGTGGGAGGGGAGAAGTGGGGCAGGGGGCCTCACCCGACACGAAGAGCAGGACCTTGCGGCCAGCTAGGTCCATGGTGAAGGCCGCGATCAGCACGGACAGAAGCCTCACGGCTCCCACAATGGCTGCATCATCCTTGGGGGGCTGTGGGGAGGAGACCCCTGAGGCTGAGAGGACTGGCCTGCTGCTCCTGTCCCTGCTTCTCACCCCACCTGGTTGCCTAAGGCCCTGCAGGGTGCTCAGACCCAAGGCCACCGCCACAGCTACCCTGGAGTGCCGAGTGTCTGCTGTATGCCAGGCACTTCCTCTGCACACCACCCTGGGGTTCCCAGCAGGGCACATCTGCCATGCTCACCACTGAGCCCACTGCCCCAGGAAACCTGCTGTTCTCAAATCCTCTCCACTGTGTCTGGACAGGGGTCTTGGCAGCCTTGCTGCTGTCTCCCTCCCACAGGGGCAGCTGGCATCCCAGGAAAGTGGCAGCCTCCCTGAGGAGCCAGCAGGGCTCCGGGCAGAATCCTGGTATGGAGGTGGTGGTGCTGCGTTTCTATTAAATCAGTTTCCTCCATCATCTTGCATAATTTATTTAAAACCATTTAAACTTTATTTAAAAACAAATTCTGAGAGCAGGTGCGTGGCCCAGAGACAGGAAGAACCCTTTGGCCTCCACACATGAGGGTGTGCATGCCCGAATTCTGGCACAGCAGGGCCTGGGGCTGGGGGCTGGGGATCGGGGCTGAGCGGGTCTGCCAGCCCACCTGGACTCAGGCAGGAGCTCACCAGCAGCACGGCCGTGCTGTCGAAGATGGACTGCAGGTAGACCAGTATGGGTGTGATGCCTGTCAACTGCTGCAGGAAACGCATGAGCAGGGCAATGAGCACCGGCCGGTACATGTGGGGGTCCCGGGCCTCTGCCCACGACACTCGGCTGCTCTGGAACACAAGACCGCTGCTGAGGGAGCTGCACTGGCCA